TCTTTCCCTCTTTTATTATTTCATTATATATGATGTATCTACTATGATACATGAAACAAGTGATTATTTTGTATGCAGATAACTATTTTCAAAATCAAGTGATTGTGCATGAAAAAAATGTTATCGATTACGGATGGTTTTCATCAAACGAATAAATTATTCATATGTATAAATAATAATTTTACATTTTGAAGACCATACAAATTAATAGTTTTAAACCAAACGACTGGATTATAATAAACATTTAGTATAAGATTTCATAAACTTCAACCAATATCGTATCATAAGAGTTAGAAATAAAGCGTTAGAAAAAGAGAGTATGAGTAAAAATTTCCTCTTGATTTGGGTATTCTGATTAACATATGTCATCGAATATAAATGCTGCCATTAATATAAATATAAATGCTCTCATCAAGGCTTTAATAATACAGGGATACTGCCACGTGGACTTCTTTCCGCTTCTACTCTCGGGCCCAACACTTTCTTAAATGCTTTCTTCTTTCGAGACTCCACACCCATAAACATAAGTTACATTCGAATCATATAATAGTTGGAGTATTAAATTCATATGAATTTGTTATTTTTACTACAAATTTTATGAAATTAATACTAATGAAAACTTTATTCTCTAGCAAATTACATTAGTTTAATATATATAAAGAAGCAGAAGCAGGGTGAATGAATTTAATAATAACCCAAGTAGACCAATGATGTGACATGATGAAATGCTGACAGAGAAGCAACAAAGCAAAGCCTCCTGTAAATTTTCTTTAGGCCATCTAACCCTCGCCTAACGAAACATAGTGATTGCAAATTAATCATCACACATGAGACATTACATGACAAAATTGACGCACCATGGTATATATATAAATATCCCTTTTGCCCACAGAGTTTTTCATTTCTTCTATAGCTACCAATTTATAATATACAGAGAGAGGAATTGAATTGAAGAAGAAGTGTAGCAAGCTAATTAAGATGAGCGCCGTATGCATATCTAAGTGTGTAAGCGACGCACGTGTGCCGGTTCGTGGCACGTACGTGAACCTGTACAAGTGGCCGGAATCGGATGCGGAGTTCGTGCGGAGAAGGGGTTCGCACGTGTGCGGGCACCCCAGAGTGGTGGACAGCATCTCGTGCAGGCAAATGTACCTACGAAGCTACAAATTTTCGAGGAAAGAGAGTGTGCCGGAGAAGACCCAGAAATGTTTTGGGAGAGTTAAGGAGAGAGTGAAGGGAAGAAGGTCTCATCACATTGTTTGGAGGAGAAGAAGGAAGTGTTTGGTTTGGAGGAAAATGAGGGACATTTCATGTGCTCTTTTGTTTAGGATTTTTCGTAGGTTCTTGTCTTGTGGGGCTAGTGTAGATGTTGTCCATTGATATGTTTTTTTTTCTTTTAATGAATGATTCAGATTTCAGAGAGAAGGGTCTTCTTTTTGTGTTAATGTTTTCGGTTATTTTATTTTATTTATTTGTTTTTGAGTTGGGTCGTCTAAGAATGTGTCAACTGTGAATGTTTGGGCATGGTTATATTATACATATGTCTCTCTCTGGCTGTATATTTTTGTTCATTTGTATGATGGAAAAGATTTGCTTAATTTTGCTTCCTTTTGGTCTTTCTATGATCATGGTTTCTGACACAGCATATGCTCTGCCATGGCCCATGGAAGAAGCTACCCTAGCTAGCTGTTACAGCTTTTGAAGGTCATCATGAACTCGGTCTTCTTAGTTCCAGCCCTGATATTAGGATGGGTAGATTAAGAAGAAAATATGAGAGATATATAAAATTAATTTAGATGGATAAAAAAATATAAATGTAACAAACAATGAGATCAAAATCATCCTATTAATTAGTATGTAAAATAAATTCAACTCGTTCTCCTGGGTCAAAGTCTAGAATTAAATATTATGAAATATAATTAGAAAGAAAGATGTAGGTAAATATTTTACACCAGAAATATAATTATTAAAAAAATATGATGAGATAAAAAAAATAACGAGATATGAAAAAAAATGGAAGAAAAAGGGAATGAATGGCTAATATTTTTCCTTTTTAATTCCTTCTCTTCTCTTACATTCATTGTCTTTTATGTGAAGTAACACTATGGAGATATGACCTTAATTAGGAAGTGCTTTGGCTTTCGGCACCTTTATAAAGGACACATGGGTCCATCATTTTCTTCATGCTCTTCCATTTTGATAGCTAGCTATCAATAGATGATTATATATCTAAGTCAATGTACCCACCCTCTTTTTTTATTATCAATATGTTGAAATTTAGTGATAATTGTAAAATTACGAGTAATATTCATGGAGTAGAGAAGATCTATGTTATTTTAGAATTTTGATGAATTTCAATTGATTATAAATCGCATGTACGTTTAATTTTTATTTATTAAAAAGCTACTGTTAATATTTTTCATTTGCGTATTGCTGGTATTTACATTTGTAATATGTCCTGTTCATTTAATTTTTTAAAAGCAATGCATGATTTGTAAGGGGAAAAAATGTATAATGAATTAGTGAATTAATTAAATAATTATAGACCATGCATGCATGTGGTATATATATAGCCTGTTACAAAGGGTATATTTGGACACAAAAGTGGTAAACATGTTTAATGCTTTTGACTAATGTTTGGGATACCGTAGTTATGGAAAATGAAAGAATGGGACGGTGGGATTCGTACTGGTTTTGAGTGTCAACTTTGTTAATATTTATCAATAATGTTTGAGAAGTCAATTTACTTATATGTGTAGATTGAGAAATGAAAACACGTGAAAGCCATAGAGAATGGGCATGAAAACAGGGTATAAAATATAATCATAACTTCCACTTATGACTTAACCTCATTCATTGGCTTTAATGAAAACTTGCGTTATACTCCTAATAAGTATGCTTCCTTAAGCACACTGTTCACTTATGGGGCAAATGTATATGAATAAAGTGCATAAAAACATCATGCACCAAACGAGACCATCATTCATCGTCATCACACTCACTTTCCACCAAGTTCACTTCACATTGACACGCAAGTGCATGCTTACTCACCTACATATTTTAAAAAATGTTGGTTGAATTATTTAAAATGTTTCTTTTAATTTCAAAATATTTTTAAATTTTTTTTTATATAATTTCCACTTCGGCGACTGCTTTTGAATTTTGATGGTGAAGTAAAAAAGTTTAAACATGTGAAGCTTAGCAAGTCTCATGTAGGAGATGCATATGATACTTTCTATCCATCCTATTACTATACCTTTCTAAAACACCCACTAACGTGTCCTTGCATGTGTCCACCACTGCCACACCAAGCAATTGACTTGCAATTGCCTCACCACATTATCCCAACCTCGTTCAAACTAGAGCTGTCAAAACGGGTCAGCCCGGCCCATGTGGGCTGACCCACTTTGGCCCACCTTAAAAACGGGCCAACCCAACCCGGCCCACTTTTTATTTTGTCAGAATTTTTATGGCTCGGCCCGGCCCACCACGGGTTGGTGGGTCAAACGGGCCAGCCCACCAACCCACCAAAAAATTAAAAAAAAAATACAAACAAAATTTAAAATTTCAAATAAAATAATACGTGAGCGTTTATGAAGGTGGAAGCAGAAGGGTCGCCAGGGACACGAGCTTTGACGATATTATCGGGGATTCTTTTATTGAGGTCTCGGAGTATCTCGGCTAAAGGACGAGTTATGCAGGATGAGTTGGAGAAAGGAGAGGAATTGTCCAGCGGCACCACGTAATTCGAATTAGACACGCCTCCTTTCTTTCCATCGCTGCTTTTGCTGCTTCGCTCGTGAGTACACTTGAGGGTCAGGGTACCAACGCGATCCGTTATCCCAAAAACCCTTTTCCCAAACACTGGTTCAAAACCTTCTTTCCTGGTTTGGACATAGAATGACAGCGAAATTATCTTAGGCCTAACCTTAAAAGCCATCGCCAGCATTCCTCACCAACCTCTCAAATCCCCAGTTGAATAATCTCTTCACAAAAGATTATCTGACAATTACACTACTGGGCTGGGCTGGCTGTTCTGTTTCAATAAAAAAAAAAAAAGTGGGCTGGTGGGCTGCCCGGCCCACCACGGGTTCAGCCCAAGTGGGCCGGGTAAAAGTGGGCTGGGTTTGAATTTACCCACTTAACATAAAACTGTTATTTATTTTGGCCCGGCCCGGCCCGTTTTCAAGGTGGGCCGGGTTAGCCCACGGGCCACGACCCATTTTGACGGCTCTAGTTCAAACTAGTAGTTACATACTTACATATAGGCAAATCGTATAATTTAGTTTTTATAAATATCGCATAGTTTTAATTTAATTTCTATACATAAAAATCTACTAAATCGATTTCTTTACTTATATTAGCTTTATTTCTGCTATTATATATTCACCGTTAACTCTTTAACGCATTCCTCATTTATTTTATTTTGGCATATTAACACATTCTTAATTTGGTTCTACATAAATATCACATTTTTAATTTAGATGTCCCTATATATAAAGACTAAATTAAGAATGTAAATATAAGATTAAATTAAAAATGAATTACATATATAGGAATCGTATTAAGATGTGTATAAGGGTTGAAGGTGATAGGGGCTAAAGCAATAATATTTACATGTATAAGAATTAATTTAATATTTTTTTACACATAAAAATTAATTCGAGAATATGCAACATTTACTAGAACTAAATTATACGTTAACCTATCAAATATTATCAAAGATGCACCAAATATTAAGTAATACTACATGTTAGATACATATGTGACAAAGGGAAATAAATTTAAAAATAGAATAGAAACTTTTTTATATTTTTTCAACGGTGATTGAAGTAACAAACTTACCTAATTAAGTTTGTTTAACATGAATAAATTACTAAATTGTTAAATTGTATGATGTACTCAAACTCAAACATTTCATTATTGAGGTACCATTGCACGATGAACAAGTTCCGACCCAAGAATAATTTATGGCGATATTGTGCGAGATTAATAATGTGGGAGTGATATATACTATGAAAAGAAGTTAAACTAAGTAATATAAAAAGAGTTAATCACTTACCAATTATATATTTTAATTGTGTCATGTCACTATAAACGCATTTACTTTTAACAGTGACATGACACAATTAAAAGATATAATTGGTTGTCGGTGTAAAAAAACTTTTCACTGATCGTATATAGGTGTTTAACTCATATAAAAATGGTATACATTTGAGTTACTGGTGCAACATAATAAGTAGGTGATCGAGTAGATTGTATAAGGTTTATTGTATAACGAAAACTAAAAAAAGAATGATATATTAATGATAACATTCATACGACATTTAGGAATCACAATCCCAATAATATTATTATTAAAAATGATATTTTGAAATATATTTTAATAAAGTGTTCGATAAGATATTTTCAATTTATAAGAATCAAAAACGAAAATAAGAAGATTTACAACAATTCATACACCATGAAATAAAATTAATTTTTCCTAAAATTAGTTTTTAATCCATGAAGGCATAATTTGCAATGCTTCACATATAAAATTTCCAATCATCCTAAATATTTTACATTAATGTCAACATATGAAAGGTTTTCTTAATGCAAATGTAGCACATTAATTCTCGTCCAATGGACATATCCATAAAAGTAAGGTCAACATTTTTATAAGAAAAATGATTCATTCTCCGAAAATTTTGTCCGGTATATCAAGTAATAATTTAAATATAATTTTTTTTAATGTGTATTCGGAGGATGTTTCGTTGTATTTTTCGAAGGATATAGAATCACTCTTTTTATAATATATGCAATCAACAAAATAATTGTTTATTTGATAATTTATAATAAATAAATACTTTCAAATGTATAAATTATGATATAATTGAATAATTTTTCAAATGTATAAATTATGATATAATTGAATAATTTTTCAAATGTATTTAATTATACATTAAATTTACGATATTGTGATATAAAATTATTATTTTTAACTATTATTGTGATATATATGATTTAAGAAATATAAATTTTCAATCTAACGATTGAATTTTCAAAATTCACATTTAATATAAAGTTATTGAGCAAAAGTTTAAACACATAGTTGAAGAACATTTAGATATTTGAGAGAAAAAGCTTAAGTGTATTTCTTACACTTAGCTCCAGACTATATATATATATATATATATATAAGAGGGATTCTTTTACTCTAGGAGTAAGTCTATGTAAACTTACTCCGTTCAATAACTCATATTTTGTATCAAATTTCAACGACTCAACCGTTGAATTTAAAATTTTTAATGCATAGATCAAATTTGTAAAAAATTTAAAAATCATTCGATACTTCATTTCATTAATTCAAATTGAAAAATAATCATAAGATCATTTTATACATTATTTTGAATTAATGAAACGAAATATCAAACGCTTTTTAAATTTTTTAAAAATTTACAAATTTGATCTATAAATTAAGAACTTTAAATTCAACGGTTAGATCGTTGAAATTTGATGTAAAACATGAATTATTGAATAGAATAAATCTAATTAGACTTACTCTTAGAATAAAAAGATCCCTCCTCGTATATATATAAAATAAGACCTCTAATTAAGACATAAATTTATAGTTTAAATACTCTTTTAAGTTCCTATAATTTTATTAACTTTAATTCTTAATTTCTATAATTAAGAATATTTCATTTAAATCTCTATGCATACTACTTCTATTTCTTTTTAATTCCTATAATTTCATAAATTTTAAATTTTAGTCCTTGTAAAACAGATACTAAACAAAAAAATTATATGTATGAAAATTCAAATAGAACATTTTTAACTATAAAAAACAAAAAGGTAAAGTTAATGAAGTAATAGAAACCAAAAGAGTAATTAAACATAAATTTATCATACAATAAGCTTGACCCTTTACCTAAATTAATATGCATAACAGTTTAAGATATATACAAACATGAGTTTAATATATTATAACAAATTTTGATATAATAATAAGAGGAGGGTTTAAACGACACCGGTGTAATTTTTACTAAGTGTTACACCGCTCAATAACTTTATATTAAATGTGAATTTTGTAAATTCAACCGTTAGATAGAAAGTTCATATCTCTTAGATCATATATGTCAAATTTTGTTAAAATTGAACAACTTGAAGGTAATCAAAGTGTTCATATTTTCGTATATTTTGAAATGTATATATTACGTCAATTTTGTTTTATGAGAATGAAGTATCAAATCATCTTAGATTAATATAAAATTTGATATATATGATCTAATAGATATGCACTTCCAATCTAACGGTTAGATTTACAAAATTCACATTTAATATAAAGTTATTGAGCGGTGTAACACTTAGTTAAAGTTACACCGGTGTCATTTGAACCCTCCTCTAATAATAATAACAACAAATATTTACTTATTTTACTTAAATAGATCGTCTTAATAGGTGTAAAAGAATTTTTGTATAGTATGGAACTTGACTTCCTAATTAAATAGACTTTAATTAAAAAAAATTTAAAGAAAATTGGCCTAATCTATTTTTTAAGATAGTCTGCCTAACCTAAGTATGATGTAGCTAATACCTTATTCAAGGGCTAGCTTATTTACATCTCTAATCAGATCAAGGCAATGCAAAATCTGTTGACCCATATTTTTCCACATATTGAACTGTAAACCATCTCCAGTCCATATAGTATTCAGGTAAGAGAAAGTGTTACTTGCATAACAACAATCGGACTCCTTTTACACTATCATCTTGATATGAATAAAACACATTTGACAACTTTTTGCAATGCTGATATTTTACACCTTATGCATTAAGTATGCGAGAACTATTTCCCACCTGGTAAAACATATACCGACTTAAACCACGTATATACACCACCGGCTGTTAGACCAACTTATTTAACAGAATAATTAACATCAACAAAAATAATTTGTAAGACTTCAACGAGATGGAAAACTCAAATTTAAATAATCTTAGCTCAAATACGAAATATCCCCTAGTGCTGCTGATAGAAAGTCTCATTATCAAGCCTACATTTGAAAAAAATTATTTGACAAAATTGAATATACAAAACATCAGCATCATAGCAAACAAAGGATGGCAATAACATATGTTGAATTCCAACCAAAAGCATTTGGATGCGTTAAATTCAATGGATGGTAATGGTAAACAGGTGTACTATCGTGTATAAACTATATCTCATGCCTTAAAAATTCATACACTATTGGGTGACATCAACAAACTTCTAGAACTAGAACTATACTCAGTTTCTGCCCGAGCATGAGCATTCATTCACCAGAGCTTAGATCCTCTCATGCAGAAATGGATTTTCCAAGTAATTCATACTGTTAAAGAAACACTGAATACCAGAACGAGTGTAGAAAAGCCAACCTGGCATACTTCTACAACTTCCAGACCAGCTTTTTCCCAAACAAGGCAAGGTTCGTGAGATGTGAACAAATATAAAGTGACTTTCTAAATTGAGGTTTCAAGAGGGAACTCTTCATAAACTATATCCATTTTATATAACTGCACAATTTATATTTCAAACACTAAAACAACAGCTTTTCTAGCAGATCTTTCACAAAAAATGAAGTAAAAACCAGGAGCAAATAAAACAAACATACATACGTTTATAAAAATAGTTAGGCGGTATTAGTTAACCACAAAAACCCCCACTTGCCCATCCATCAAGCTTAGTTCTTCGAGGAACCCTTTGAGTAAAAGGAAAGTGGAGCCAGGCAGCACTCTGTCCTATTGCATGCTTTACTTGCTCCAAATATCATTTCTCTCAAGTCAATCCGCGAATGAAACCATATTGCACTGATAAGAAAACATCAAAGACCTTGTAAACTAAACTAAAAATCAATCAACAACATGAATTATAACAGGAAGGCCTTTTACCATATAACACAGAAAACAAAACTGCAAGAGACCCTATTTAACATAAACAAATACATAATTACTGATAACTCACTGAAGTCAAATATTAACAAAAACAAATGTAAAGAAAGGTTGGGATTGTGAAAAGAAGTCAATGAACTAAGAATAGTAAAAGTGCTCATTCTTACCATACATCATACAATACAATCAAGCATAAGGTGCACACAGAAAAATCAGTTAAAATGAGAATGATTAGTAACAAAATATCCCAGTAAAAACTGAGTGTACAGTACAGTTCCTCTAGTGAAACTGGCATTTGAGTGAGAACATGATCACCCTTTTTCTAAAATATCCAAAAGTATTGAGATCAAATAAGACTCTCATAATATTTTTAAAGGCTTACATACTTCACCAATACATATCTGCAAAGTATTTGAGAGTACTAGTATCAGATAAGTGAAACAAATTGAAGTTTCGGTTTTTCATAGAATTGCATGCTACAATTGCTCCAAATATAATTTATCCCAAATCATCCACGAATAAAACCATATTGCACTGATATCAAAGACCTTGCAAACTAAATTAAAAATCAATCAACAACATGAATTATAACAGAAAGGGCTTTTGCCATATAACACACAAAACAAAACTCCAAGACATCGTATTAAATATAAACCAATACGTAATTGCTAATTACTCACTAAGTTGAATGTTTACAAATATAAGAACAGCAAGAAAGGTTGTTATTGTTAAAAATAGCCAATGAACTAAGAATTGTAAAGTGCTTGTTCTTAACACACATTATACAATACCATCAAGCATAAAGATGAAATCATAAAATTCAGTTATAATAAGTATGATTAGTCACAAAACATCCCAGTAATAACTGTGTAAAGTACATCTCTAATGAAACTGGCATTTGAGTGAGATCATGATCACACTTTTTTCTATCCCGCACAATACAATTATCAGCATTGCAAACAAAAATACAAAACATACAGACAGTATTCCAGTAATGACACGTTTCTAATTCACACTAGGTGCAGCAATTAGCAACAAAGTGATTGAAGAACCTGATATGGGAATCGTATCATTGTTTCAAAGCTCAAATTCTTCATCCCTGAGCGCAATCTCTGCCGCCTCTTCTTCCTCGTCATCGAGCGCAAAGTACTCATTCCTCTCGACCGGCCTAAACATATAGAACATGACAATGTAGAACGCGAGACTAGCCGCCTCCTCGGCGAAATTACTCACCCACTGGTACTTATAAGCAGCAATGGTCTTCAACGCAAAGACAACAATGCGTGTGAAGTACAAGTAGCCAATGACAACAATGTAGAATTGCCTAAAGAGGGTTAACTTGGCCAAGTTTCTGGCGGCTTTGCCGTCGGTTTTGGAGGTTTCCCTGAGCGATCTAATGGACCAGACGATGGGGAAAATGATGGCGCAGCAGCAGATGATGTCGACGAGGAGGAAGACCTGGTTCCAGGTGACCCAGTCCTTGATGAAGGGGCCGGTTTCGCCGATGACGACGGAGGCGACGTTGGCGAGGACTTGCAAGGGGATGACGATCATGAGGACCTTCTTCTCGCGGTCTTGGAGGAAGGGTTTGAGGAAGGACCAGCCGGTGCCGACGAGGACGATGACGGTGAAGAGGAGGACGACGCGGATGAACTGGAAGATGTAGAAGAGGACGTCCCAGCCGTGGGGGGTGCCGGTGGTTTTGATGAGGTGTTTGTCCTCGGCGGCGCAGAGGAGGTTGAGGGCCTTCATGAGGAGGAGGGCGGCCATGAGGAGGTGGATGCGGTGGAGGGAGCGGCGGTTGAGGAGGCAGAGGCGGAGCCAGAGGGCGAGGAAGGCCAAGTAGAGGAGGGAGAAGAGGAAGAAGAGGGTGGGGAGGTTGGTCTGGCCGGCGGAGAGGTAGTCGCGGGAGGAGTCGGAGGGGTTGAGGTTGAAGAGCTCGGTGCGGAGGGACATGGAGACGGTGGTTTCCGGGGCGCAGTTGGCGAAGAAGAGGCTGTACTCGTTGGGGAGCGTGACGGGGTAGGTGTTGTTGGCGGAGGCCGCGGGAGGAGGGGAGAGGTCGCGGAAGGTGAAGAGGTGGTTGGTGTAGTGGGAGTCAAGGACGCAGAAGTTAGGGTTTTGCTGCATCTCGATCAGGACTTGGAGCAGGGACTCCTCGCTCAGGAGGAAGAATCCCAGACGGGAGGGATCTGGTTGGGACCCTGTGCCGGCCACCACGGACACCGACGACACGGAGATCGACACGTGCCCCGTGTGCGTGAACCCGAATTTCTCAAGCAGGATCATGGGCCGGTTGTCGGAGGTGATCGTTAGGGTTTTGATCTCGGCGGTGGAGGGGGAAATCAGCAGGAGGATGAGGATGAGGATGAGGATGAGGATGGGGGTTTTGCCCATTGTGGAGCGGTGGGGGGAAATTGGCATCGGAGCTGAGGATTGGAGTGAAGGAGTGGCGTTCTTTGTTCGCGTATGGTATGGTATGGTTAAAGGTGAATAGAGACGCGTCGCGGGGGCGATGATTGCGATGTGGAGTTGCTAAACGACGTCGTGACTCGGAAGTCCTCGTAACGTGTTGCTCGGGCGGAGCTATCAATTTATCGCTGTTTCCCCGTAGGCGGAAAGGATTGTTGGAGAGGCCCACTTTTTGTATTGGGCTATTGTGGTCTATTCAATTTGGAGAATACTATTCACGCCTCCAACTTAGACCTATTAAACTCATTTTTTTCTTTTTGAAAAGGGAAATGATATTTGTTTCATAAATTCATGTAACAAATTTTACAATATTATTCTTTTAGGGTTAAATATTTTTTTAATACCTATAATTTTACTTAATTTACTTTTTAGTCTCAATAATTTAAAATAGACAATTTTTAATCTCCTATATTTATCATCTCCTTCAAATATAGACCCATCATTGTTACTTCATGCATCCACCATCTCCTTTACATACAAATTCATTGCCCCTACCTGAGGCATTTGCCATCTCTTTCACGAATAGATTTGCCATCCTCACTTGAGGTGTCTTCCATCTTTTTCATGTACAGATCCACCATTGTCATTGGAGTGTCTACCATCTCCTTCACGTGTAAATCCACCACATCAACGTCCATCTCCCTTTGCATTGTGTTGATTCTGCAATAAAGAGGGTTCAAAAAACTACTAGATTAAATCCTATTCCATGTCTTCTATCTTGTAAATACCAATAGACAAACAAGGGGTAAGCAATTTGAAATATAACCTCATTTTCAAAAATTGATTCACAAAAAATTGGCTTTATAGGTAACCTGCTAAATTGTTACATGTGTAAGCAATTTTGTTGGTAACATACAAAATCATGTCTTTTAAACAAGCCTCGTATATCTATCTTATAAAATTAGCTACAAATGTAATCGATTTTGTAGATACTTACATAATTAGTTAATTTTAATTGATTTTAAAAGTATTTGCAATAATTACAAAATTACCACCAAAATTCCTGTAAAATCAGTTCCTTTATAATCAATTTTAAAGGCCCAATTTTGTAAGCTTTTTTCTTTTGCAACCAATCTACACTAAGGCCTTACCTAAACTATATTGTCCCACGACTTTGGGAAGGATTAATCAGGGAAAAGTTGAAGTGGATCAATCATATTGTAAGATTATGAATATGCTTACAGATGAAGTTGTTTAAAGGAATGTATTATTGCAGAGTCAGAATTGGTATTTTTTTTTATGAATGGGAACTTTAAAAGAAAAAAATAGAAGAAAAAAAACATAATTTAACAACCACTGTCTAGCATGCAACACTCCTACAACATTCACCATAACAAAAGACATCAGTAGAGAAGGACACAAATCCAACAAAATAAAATCTAATTGACAAGAAGAGCCCAATTTAGAGAGGCAATCAATAGAAAAATTAGCTTTGTTGAAAATGTAATTCCCACTACAAGTCTTTGAATGCTTGAATTTTCCTTATAACTAATGGATGAGGATGGAAGAAACTAACACTATGATCAATTAGTTGCAAGGCCAACTTAGAGTTGATTCACAAATCAAATCTCCAATGCCTTTATTTTGACTATAAGTATTTATACCAATATTATAATATTTTGACCGTAAATTTGTTGGTATTGTTAGGGTCATTACATCTAAAATATTGTTTACTTTGCCGCTCGTTGAGACTTCACAATTTTGTCCTTGAAAATGTCTCTTAATAGATTAAGAAGGAAATGTATTTTATAAATTACTATTAACCTTAATTCCTAAATGTTGTAGGACTTTAAGCATACTAAAATGGTAGCCAAATTAAATACCTTTTAATTTTTGTAATTCAATCGAATGTAAAATAAGATCTAAATGTTTATTATGATGGAGGAAAGCCCAACACAATAACAATAACTCAATAAATAATAATGCAGTGAAAATTAAATCTCCCTACTTGTAAGAATCAATGAGGAGCACCAATAAAATAGAGCAAAAACATATAACATAAACACAAAGAGACACAAATTTTTAATATGGAAAATCCTTCAATGTAAGGGTAAAAATTATGAGTCATTCAGACCAAAGAAAAACTCGACTATGATCAACAAATGGTACAAAAGAGACTTTAAAGAACGCACCAAATAGTACTTACAACCAGTCAAAGCAAAACCAAACACAATTATTTATAATTGAGAAATAAGATAAAAGCCTCAAAACATAGTTGTTATTGCGAAACACTTTTCTCTCACTCTAGACTTCCTTTTGACGATCCTATCATTAAATATGAAACTGTTAACTCAAACGAAGACGAAGCAATTCCAAGTGAGCTTTTGAATATGACAAATATAATACATATAGTTATTTCTAACAAGTGTGCCAGTGTTTCAGAAAAACATAAGTACAGGCAAAATGAAAAACAAGCATATGCATCAGACGATACAAGACGACAGATGAAAGCTTCATATAGACAAGTCAAAACAAAGCTTCAAGCATCAAACAAATACGAGTCAAAGAAAAAGAACTCAGACGGAAGTTGGTCAAACAAAATGGAAGCCAACAAAATAAGACGAAGAACAATACAGACTAATAAGCATTTCAGACGAAAATGAAAGTCTGTTCATATAGAAATTGACCAAACCAAAGAAAGTCAGAGCATCAATGACTAATGCTCATAAGAAAGTCAAGGCTTGAGACTCATATGGACTACTAGACGCAGAAAAAGACTGCCATAAAAGCATATGAAGAATCAAGTCTCAAAAGGACAAATCAAGGCATCATCTACGATCATATAAAAGCTCTCAACGGAAATGTGTGATCAGAAGGAAGAAAAGAAGAAAAGCACGCAAAAGCAAGAGCATGCACGTGTCAGAAAAAATACATTACTTTTTTAGATAAGGACAACACTCTACAGTTATGTGACCAGAAAAAAGACAAAAAGGTTCCTAGGATTCTGCTAAATTTAGACACTACTGCTACCAACGCAAAGAATACTTCATGCAAGGTATATCACAGGAAGCAACATTTAATGCAAGAACTCAAACATTAAATGAGAAGATTGAACTAGTCATGAACGACTATACTTACTTCAACGGACACTTGCAAAGGGCAGATTCTACAAGACAACATATATATCACTGCCTCCAACCTTGGGAGGTTGGCTTTTTGGCTGACCTCTGGCCTTGCATTTTAACCTAGTGATATCAAGCCCACTATGCAACGAAACCAGAGATAGAGCGTATAAAGTCAAAAGTACCATAGTGTATTCGTCTTTGTAAACTAAGGAGTTCCAAACATATGCATCTTAGGAATAAAACCTTAGTGAGTGTACAAATTTATGTATCCTCTCTGTGAGAGTAATTCATACACTCAATCGTTGTAACAACTAAGGTTGCATACTTTAATGAGTGTAGAAACCTTTGTATCCTCTCTATGAGAGTAACCTAAACACTCAAACCAAACTTGCCTAGTTGATATTTGTA